GAGAAAGTGCTGGTTGGCGGAATCTTTCGGTAGATTTGTACCACCCAAGCTTTGATCACGCATCGCTGGGTCGTAAGTCCATTCAGAAGGATAATTCTGCAACCAAACATGGGGATGTCCAAACATGAAGCATCTCTGCTTCAGCCGGACTAAAGTACATCTTACACCCAATTGATCTGCACAGCTTTAGGATTACAGACTCGAGCAGCGAACCCAGTTTGAACATCTGTACAGTGGCATTGTACTTCACCGGCGTAAAATAAGAACTCAACCCCAAAAAGGAACCTGCATCGTGGATGTGTTTGCAAACCCCAGTTGGGAGGTCGCCAAAACTTGCCGAGAAACTATGGACTTCTTTCAGGGATTCGTTTCATGCTGGCTGAAGTTTGGACTGTTCAACACAGTTCCAGCTGGGTGAGCTCGTTTCCCCGCAATCAAGCACACCATGCTTTGAGCAGGACAGATTCAAGTAACAAAGCGTGCCGAGGATGTCTGAACACGCTTAGCCGGCTCGTTCAACTGAAGTTCTCATCACATGGGAGCAGCCCGACATCAGCAGCGCAAGCGCGAATCGCTGAACCTGGCTCGTGAATCCGGCAGCATCTAAAGCTAGTCGTGAAACAAGGAGGATCAAGTGGCCAAAGTCAGACGGAAAAGGAGAGACTTGACGGCGAGCTGCTCGTCAATGCAAAGTGCCTAATGCTAAGTTGACCAGTTGTGTTGCGTTTCATCAAGTTCATCCGGCCTCACACACTTCCTGAAGCCAGGTATCTGCAGAAAGAGCAGGGTACAGCATGAAGCCCCAAACATTGAGGATACCCTCCCTCCAATCATAGAGGCTGTATCCACTTCCATCGTGGGGCAAAAAAAGAGGGGAGGAGCAGTCCTCATGGCTGCAACAAGCATACAAGATCCATTGCGTTTGCCAACCTGCCGGACCACGGAATGGGAGGATCCATAATCGATGACTATCGGCCGGATTCGTTCAAACCGCCTATCCAACTAGTAATAATTGTGAAGACTGCGACTGTGGCAACTACCGTATGTGTTTGTTTCTTTTGATTATTGACATGCTTTGGGCGAGACTATCAGGTTTTGATTATGAATCAAGTGATCTTAATGATTGCAACATGTGGCTCGGTCGCAGATTAATTGCTCATTCCAAAGGAAGCCGCAAAGGTTTGTTGCTTTTCCGGCTGGCTCTAGTCAGCGCCTACGTTTCTAGTTGGGACTGATTAACATATTGCGCTTGGCCATTGTTTTCCAAGCTTGGTAATATTGTTCGTCGGAACTACCATGGGAAACCTGAGCTAACCCTTAACCGGCCCTAAACCAACCCTAAACGAAACATAAACTGACTCTAACCCAACCCAAATCCCAAATCTACCCTAAACCATCCCGAAAACGAATCTACACCGACCCCTTAGCCTAACCTGAGCCGGCCCCAAACCAATCCGACGCACGCCTAAACGAAACCTAAGCGACCCATACCGACCTGAAGTAATTCGGGAAAAAAGGAACACTCCCAAGATGATATTTGGAGCAAGCCAACTGACTGTATATCAGTCACCCAACTGACCATTGTGCTCCAGACATCACCGGCCACGCTTGGCTCAATCGTGCACACCAAAAAAGGAACCAAATCCCGCCAGCTTTCTCTGATTGATTTTCCCATGAAACCCCACGTCCAAAAACGCTCATTTCGGGGTGCTGAGAGGTCCCGATGAGTGTGTGTGCTTTTTGGTGGTACCTTGTCAACTTGGTTCGAAGGGTAACCAGGAGGACAACCGCCATGTTCGGGACGCCATGACCCGCGCTCGAAGAGTTCCGCCTAGAAGGGAAACTTCACCGAGTCGGTGGTCTGTGAGCCCCGCTTCTGCAAGCGCTTCGGCGGCGACGCCTGCCAAGTCTTTTGCATGATGCTCCCCGCATCTGGCGCACGGTCTAATCAATCTTACACCAGTGAAAGCAGCCCAAAATTCTCCCATTTGGCCTCATCCCCTTCACTCACCGGCACCAAGGGAATTGTGCCGTCTACGTCACCCAGTCACCCTGATGTAATGAAACATCGCGACAATTGGAGAAGACAAGCCCACTTTCCTTTGATGGGACCTCCGTGTCCAGATTCTTGTTGGTGTGACGGAGTTGTATTTGGGTGTGGGTCAAAATTAAACCACCAGCAAACCACATGTTGTAGTCATTGTTTCCATTTAGCAGGGGGCCATTTTGGGTACCTATTTTTGACCCACAGCCATTTGGGTTCTTGTGGTGCCTGCCTGTCCACGGTGAAGGGGATGCTTAAAAGCCAATCCGCTAGATCCCAAACCATCCCGCGAGAGCGCCTCCCGGTTTTGAGTGAGCAAGGCCATGAACCTCAAGATCACGGCACGCGGATTCCTGACTACAGATCCTTGTTCCCTTGAAAGTCAAACTTAGTGACTTGTAGTATATGTTAAAACAAACCCTCCTAACTCTGAAGGGCTGCTGATGTTTCCGGCACACCATCCGAAAAGTGTTCCCAATAGACAAATGCGCAGGTGCCAACAGTGAACCAACATTGCGCCCTGCCGTCTGAGGATTTCGGCTTGCAAGTTCTGTGCCGAAACACAACGGGTGGCTCCGAGTTTGGCTCCGAAGCGTCAAATCTGCCTCGAGGGGGCAGAAAATCCAAAGCCGTTCGCCAAGCTGCTCTCGAAAATTCAGCTCTCCGTCCCCGTCGGTGTCGTAGCCTTGGCTAATGTTGCGAACCGTGCCATGATCAGGGGAAAGTTGCTCCTCTTTGATCTGATGCAACCCATGGCATCTCTATGGTCCATCATGATATTTTTCACGGTAAGCTGCGAGCACCCTTTCTAGGCTGCCTCTCTCTTACTTCAGTCTGTAACTGCGGATTGAATGTCAGCGTTGGCAAATCACAAGCAGTGTAAGGCCTTCAGCCAAATCAAAGAGGCGTTGCCTTGAAGTGAGCGGTTGCATGCGCGGCTTCCGTGAAAACATGTGCACCCAAGCCTGCCAGTCCTAAACACCATGCCCAGTGTTGATCCTGTATGGTGTTGTGCTTGATCCGCGTCATGCTCTTCTCCATGGATAATCCCCTATATGTTGCTAGTGGAGAGATCATGACTCCCCTCCTCCTCACGTGTGAAGTGTGCGAATGGCACGCTTACTAAAACATGCATGCCCAGCAGACACGTACGACGTATTATACATACATGCAGTATACACATAGCCTGCCAATGTGAATGGTCGGCCAATGTCCGCTCAACAGGATGGCAATGGACCTCTTGCCTCAACCCCGAACAAACTCCGAACAGACTGCTCGGAAGTGGTTCCCGACGCCTCTGTGAGCCCTTCGATTGCAACGAGGATTTGGTCGGCGATGTGCATTACACCATGTTACACCTGCAAGTGCAACAGTTGCTTTAGCAAGCCTTCAAACATTGTTGGTGCATATCAGGAGTCGGTGCGAGGACCTGCTGGAAGCAAACAAGCTCAGGGTACGATCGAGTTGGCCATCCTGGCCAACTACCAGGTCTACGGGCGGATGAGCATGTGGCCGAGACACGATCAAGAAGCTCCATCACTTCATCCCTCAGGTCATTCCCCAGAAGGTCCTGCCACACGCTTCTGACTGGAGGACGGTGGGCTCTACCTTGAACAAACATGTTCTGTGAAAAGGGGGACATGCTCATGGTTACTGTGCCACTTTAGAGGCAACCGACTGTCTTGGCATCACATAAACTGCACCAACAGCTCCTTTCCCACGCTAGATGCCTCAGAGCATGTCTTTGGATTGGCTTTGCATGAGGAAACATTCGCAATGGACGATCGCCATCAAAGACTGGGGCTGCAAGAAAAGAGGATGTACTTGGTGCCACTGAACAACTCGTTTCGTGAGAGAACTGCATGCAGAGGGGGTTGATTTCGATAGGGGGTCTGGAAGAAGAGCTCCCATCCTCTCCTGCCTCCCCCGCAACTGGGGCAAACCAAGAATTACCTTCCCACCAACAAACGCAGAAGTGCACGAGCCCTCTTCCAGAAACAAAGTAGTCTTGCAAGAGGGATCCGTGCACACAACCACTTTTGCAAAACCCAATGGAAAAGTAGGCTGCTCCCATCCTCGGGATCGGCATCCTTGAGCAGCTGGAAAAGCTCCTGAGCCAATGGAGGTCGCAGCCAGGACCAAAAAAAACCTCCACCAGTAGGTGGTGCCCATTAGTTTTCACTGAGAATGCAGCATTCAACTCGTGGCTTCCTTGAAAGGATTCCCAAACCTCAAGCTGATCCCAGCAAATACCTTGTCTCAAACGCTTGCGCTCAAAAGGAGTAGTTTCTCTTTGGTTTGGCAAACCCCAAAAAGGTACCTTCAAAGACACACCAGCCCTTTGGTTGAAACCACGGTCGCCTGTGGGCTGAAAAGCTCCGCACGACTTCGGCGACCTCTCCACCCAAAGTCGTCCATGAACCACCCACCCCACAGCCCGCCCACCTCACCCCACCTCACCCACCGCCCTTGCCTGAATGGAGATGGTGCCACTGGAATCCCGGTCCAACGCGCGAAAGACCTGGCACCCCGAAAAGGCCCCGGCGGCTCCCCTGCGTGGCCTCCCCAGGTCTGTCCAGTGATCCCTTTCCACGGCAGCTACGGCAGCTTGGGCGGCCCAAAAACGGGCCGCCCTCGACTTTTCACAAGCGAATTTGATAGGCAACTCCACGCCTCTGGATTCGCTTCACGTGGGCTTGGAGGCTTGGTGGTTTTCAGTGTTCATATCATGTGACAGTCCGCTCCCAAACACACCACCTGACTGGATCATTGATGTGTCACATGTCAAATGTGTACATGTATACGTACAAATCTACATATCATGTACTAGTACGTATCAGTATACTTCTTGCTGACCTCCGAGCTGATTCATGCCGTAGTGGTATTCTCCCGGTTTAAAGGCAGTCACCAGGGCCCCAAAAAGAACATGTCCACCAGCTAGGTCGAATCGATTCCTTCACCCCGGGTCGGCCTGCAAGCACAGATCCTCCCGAAAGAAGATCTTCCGGTCGATGGCCGCTGCCATGAACTCGCCTGAAGCTTTTCTTGGGTTTGTTTGGCACATGCGCCAGTAGGTTGTTGGGTATATTGCTGCATGTTTTTGGTAACATTGTTGCATGTTGTTTTTGTTGATTCCACGAGTTGGTCACCATATTGCATGTTTGTGCTTGCGTTTGTAATCAACTCCTGACTCCTGGTGAGAAACATGAGTTTTACTACTTATATGGTTAATTCGGGACCTTTTGGTGGACAGAGTTTGGTGGGAAATCATGTCCGCCAACCACGTTTGAGGGGATTCCCCATTAAGCTTTACTGCAATGGGTATGGAATGTTAATTAGGGATGGGACAGATCCTGCATGGATCATCATCAACCCAGACATAAATTGGGGATTCACGTCCGCCCACCTTGGAGGTGGTGTCCTGTGGAAAATCATGGCCAAATACTAAACTGATTCATCTGTAATTGAATCTCTTCGATCATCTTACTGCAGGGAGGTTACTTGACCCAACTCTGAACTACACCAACTATATAATATACATCTAAATATATATACTCTGGTTGTGATTCATATAGTCAACCTCAGACTGCAACACATGTTCTGAGAAGACCCCACTTTCAAGGAAACCTTTGAAACCATTTGGCCCCCAACCCCACCCCCCGTTTCGACACGGTCAGCTCCCATGCCGCCGGGCTGTAGTCGATGGCGCCGCTGCCGTCAGCGTCCAGTGCCTGCCGGAGTCCGCCCCTTGGGGGCCATTGGAAGGCGCTGGAAAACTTCAGTTCACATTGAACACTAATTTCACACATGGACATGTACACAAACGTGCAACTCTGATATGTGTGTACATATACATTATATAACATACATATATATATAGCACGTGTATGTGTATATATATATGTATATATAGAAGATGTATGCACATAATGTGACAGAATATAACCATGTGTAGTATCATCAAGGAAGGTGCGGATATGCCATGTGCATTCTGCCCCATGCTGGCTCGCGAATATGTTGAACCGGACATGCTCCAAACTCACATTCTTGAATGGTGCTTTCTCCCTAGCCCGAAGCTGGACACAGCTGTCCACGTTTGCTGGGAAACGTTTTTTTGGAGCCTTGATACCTGGTGTAAAATCTACATTACCATATTTCTCCTGGTCCAAACTATTGATGCTGAATCTCTCTTTTCGGTCCAAAAAGCGTATTACCTCCATTTTGGGCACTTCTCACCTTCCAATTCTCGGAAAGTACACTTCACCGACCGCTCAATTTGTTATATCTGAAGGAAACATAACAATTCGCTTGCCCGAAATGGGGGACCCAAGAAAGGAGTCTTCATCCTTTATGGGTCAACCCCGTGTGACGTCGTTCTCCAAATGCCCGATCTTGTCAGAGCTCATCTATGAAGGGTGCCTACTAGGTAACAGTCAACATGCTGTGATCTCGCATCTTGTTGGTGGTGACCGAAACTTTATTGTGTCTCGCTTCGCTTTGCTTGACGCCTCGAACAGCTCAAGGTACTCTGCAGCCTCCTGGCGTTTACGCCGAAGCGAAGCGGGGGGCCTATTGCGCCCATGTGGAGTCAACAAGCATATGGTGGGTCACGTAACACATGGGATGGCCCTTCGAAAAAACCTCAAATTTGATGGCTTCTGGGAGAAACCCTTTAAAACCAACCCACCAAAATGACCTCAAAAAGACAAAGCCACAGGCCAGACGTCTATTCTTTTGATAATGGAAGCGGACAGGAAGTTGTCAGCCGAAATGATTCCGGCTAGGTGTCTTGACTGCGGCTATCCTTTAACCAAGGCTTGCCATTTCCCGTTGACGCATCCTTGAACCTGCTTCCACCGCCCATTTTGGAGCCTCTGTAGAAACACAAAGAGCAACAACGGCCCAACGTGTGGTCGCAGGCTGTTTGGTGCTCCATCTACGGCGGAGCTTCAGACTTTTGAGGCACCACATCCTCCTGGCTCGTACACAACCAATCGAAGCAAACACAGCTAATGATGGGTGTTGTGCAACGGGCATGTTGCTGGCCGTACGGCTAAGATTACTTCGAAGGCTAATTCGCCCAACAGTGCCAGCGCTCATATCTTGGACTGAAGGTCAACTCCACGAACTGAAAGAGCTGCACATTCTCGACCAAAAGGGGGCAACCCTCTTCAATGCTCTCTGCTGGCGCTTCTCAGCACAGCCACTGAACTTGCTGTCTTGATGTTCGTGCGATGGAAATTGCCAGGCTGCAAGACATTTGGACTCCGCAGTGATCCTGGTACGAAATTATGTCTTGCCGACAAGCAAAAGTTCGTCAGAGCAAAGAGAAGAAAACCATGGAAAATCGATAAAATCAGTGCAGCTGTCCCACCACTGCAATCCAGTGAAGATCATCAAGCCACATGCGCCTCAAACACGGCGTCCTCCAAAATGGCTGGTTGCCTTTCGGCTTTGCACTTAAAACACAGCAGCAGGGTGCTCCTGCAAAAATAAAACACCCACGTGTTGCGAATGCAGTGAGCCAAAACGATCGCACATTCATCCGAGACAGATATTGAAGCGTCAGGGCAGTGCTGAGAACACCTGTATACATCGCACAGACTTTAGAACATGGTAGAGAAACGTTCGCTCCAAAGAGCTGCGCGTTCTGCAATACATCAAAGTTGCTGAAATAAGGCAACCCCAAGCCCCAAACTAAAGGACCTACATCGTGAGCTCGTTCTAACAGCGAGCTCGCCCTAAAACAGCAGAGCTATGCTGTTTGCTCTTTTGGCGTGGGAAAGAACTGGGAGACTTGACCCCCAGCCCCAAGCTCCATCGCGCCTTTGGCAGGGGCGCGTCGGGATGAGGGCTCCCTGGCCGTGTTCCGATCGCTATCGAACGAGAACATGTGTGTGTAGCATACAACCTATTTGTTAGAACGCATTTGCAGTCACCCAATATTGCTCCAAGAACAAGTTGTTGGTAAGTGGTTTTTTTTCTGGATCGTGCGTCGGCACAGGACGAAGCACATTCAACTATTGTAACCATCTGCGGGCAAGCGGACATTCTTCTCATCGGCGCGAGACAAGCTTAGCCAACTTGACTGATCTTCCAACAATTTGCCGATAGGCGGGCCCATCGGCACAGGTCTCACTCTTGGCCCGCGCCAATCGTAATTCAGCGGTTGACTACATCTACAGCCCTCTGATGGGAGAAAACCAACACCGCAGGTATGGGCTGGCAGGGTGCAACTCCAACAGGTGGGGGGGCTGACAAATTCTCTGACACTCAAAAGAGACATTCTCCGATTCAGCATCCAGGGCATGCCGGATGCTGCAAGAACCAGTCATACGGTCCCAAAAGCTGTTGACGGGTGGTTTCCTGAGCGCTCGCACTGTTCGGGTTTCCACCTGGGCAATCAGAGTAACGGGCCGCAAAGGGAACACGCGTGTGTGGGGAATTTCAAGCCCAGGCCACTTACGTCTAAAGACTAGGCAAAATCCGTAGACTCCTTTTTTCCGTTGTGCTACGGATACTTTAGCCTTCAGCAACGCAGTTTCCACACACCCCTCATCAGAGATCGCAGATTGAAGATGCGCTACGTAAGGACTCTTCATCCCGAACCACATCAGCTTGATCAGTGTGCGCACGCATGATGTGCTGCGCTGCCAGGTGGTCCTAACTAGCAAAACCGATCACGATCCGCGTGTCTTGTGGATCAGCGGATGTAAGCATTGCGACACCACCAGATCCAGAACCATCACCATCACCGATGTTGCATCTTGCGGGCACACGAGCAGGGTCCACGGCAACTACATACAAGCCGCTAAGGCTGATAACCTGAGGTTTCAAGCCCAGGCTACCGACCTATGAAACCTAGGCGAAAGCTGCAGACTTCTTTTCCCCGTTGTGCTACGGACACTTAAGTCTTGAGCAGCATGCACAGGGCTCAGGCATGATTCCACATATTCCCCCCAGCCTCCATTCCATGCTCTAGATGGGAAAGCTTCTGAGGGTGGCCAAATGCCGGGGCGACAATGCAAGTGCCATCAGCCACTGGCGGTGACTCCCAAAGCAGAAGACCAGGTGTGCCAACATAAAGCCGAACCGGTTTTGAATATTGAGCCTCCCCGCTTGCCCACTCGCCCTTGATCCTAGGCGAATCGGGTTTGAGAATTGGAACCCTCATTTTCTGTTGAAACCGATGGACAGCTCACTGCCGGCCTTCTCCCTTGTGAAGGCTTCTTCGAAACTCCTGCGGAGATGGCCAACTTGGAGCAAGCTTCTGTGGACACAAAGATCACCTCGTTCAACTGGGCACCCTGCGTGAACCAACACAAGTCACCAACCTGAAATTCTGAAGAAAAGGGTCTTCAACCTTCTTTGGTGAGTCGCACACCAAATCCCTTGCTGATCAAACAAATGCTGTACATCGGCTGGTCAAGGTGACGATGTTTTTCTACCCATGGCCAGCGTGTATCTTAGGAACCCACATGGCGCTTTGCAACTTCTGCTCCAGCTACACGCCTCGGACAATGGTGCAGTTGAGCCCGACAGGGGTCACAGGGGGCCACTGGAGCCACGACTTGCGATCACCTCATTCCCAGGCAGCCTGGAACGCTAAACCACACTCAGCAGGCTTGTAACCCAACAATCATCCAAAGCATGCTTCGCATCTGGAGGGCATAGAACGACGTAAACATGTCCTTGCTGGACCAGCCCTTCTTTGTGTGATGAATACGGCACCAATCGTGTCAGAAATGTCCAACAACAACACAATCAGTTCTAAACGCCCCGGACTCCTAGCTAGGCTACTCCTACGGAATGGAAGGTCTACACTGTTTATAGAACAAAGGTCATCTACGGCAAGTACCAAAGCTTTGGTCAGGCACATGGTTAGGCCCTTGGCAAGGTGCTTCCTTCACCGGGAGAGGACGTGTATTCGGCTGGCGAGCGGATCGAGATCCTCCAGGGACAGGGATCCGTCCCCATTGGTGTCCATCGCCTGGTGCGTGAGACGCCAGCGAAGTGGTACCCCAAAACGAGCCCCTAAAACTGCTTGAGTTGCATGTCAATCAGGGGAGCTTTCAACCTCTTTCTAGCGGCCTCAAGTCTGTCTTCCAAAACCCTCCAATCAGCTTTCTATTGTGGACAAGGGTAGGCTTGGACCCACATCTGGGGTATTCTGGGGTTGTGCACAAGGGACTGTTGGAGGCTTGACTCGACAAACACGCTTGGCAATTCTACACACACGCTTGCAGAACCATGTGGGCGACGAAACCACCTGTTTGGAGTCTTACTTTGAGACAAATCCATGTTTTGTCCTTGAAATTGCAGAACCCACGGCCCCCCACCCCCCCCCCCCCGAAGAAGATGGAGGCACTCAGTCAGTGTCTTTGCCCCTTTCATGTCCGTCTCAAGCAGGAACTGCCACGTAGGATGGCCCCTGTCATTTGACTCATACCCAGGTCTAAGTGCCGTTAGTCTTAGGGGGTGGTCAGCCAAGCGACACAAGCTCGGAAAATCAAGAAGCCCGGCGATTCTGTGCAACCAAACAAAAAGATCCAATCATCCTGGATCAGCGTCATCCAATAAAATCCATGTCACCAATAGCTCAGTTGCGCAGTGGTTTCGCGGAAGGGCATACCGGTATCTTTCATTTTTGTTCGGAACCAACTTTCAGGTGTTTGCTAGAGGCATCCTCTATCGCCAGCCCACAGGATGCCCCCTGTGCACTTCAACAAAGGCCCTCATGCGACGGGGGGGAGGATTTTGTGTCCCGCAACCCTCCGCTGCTCTTCTATAAAGAAGGGTTTTTGTGTTTAAACGGCACTTTTTGGAGGAATCTGCCTTCTGCCGCCCTTTTCAGGGTACCGCATCTTGCCGTGAAGGGAATCCCTCCGCCTCGCAAAGCAAAGCCGCTGGCTCAGAGATTTTTCGGAGGCCTTGAAGGCGTTGTAAATCTCGGGGAGGTCGTTCGCACCGAGGTGGCGTGCCACCACCATGAGAAGGATCCTAACCAGAATCAGGTTACCGAACGAACGAACGAATCCGGGTCTCTGAGCACTGAGTGCCCGACCTTTTAGTTGGTTTGGATTGGTTTGGGGATTTGAACCCTGGTTCTTGTAGATGGGAAACCCCTTAATCACAACACCACCAACCAAATCACCCGATTGGAGGAACCTAAGGAAGCTGACAGAAGGGGGCCATGGGTTCATGGGTTAGTGACTCTCTAAGGAAAGGCAAAGCGAACCAGCTATTTCAGGGGTAAGGCACTATTTGGAGCAAACCCAAGTTGTATAGCTTTGTAACGCAAAGAAACACGCCAACCACGACAAGTTCGAATAAAGGTGAGGTGGGCTTGTTTTTGCTTGAGAGAAATCAACAGGAACACATCCATTCTTTGGGGCCCCCCTATTTCGACACACACCTAGGTGCCAACAAACAGGTCTACAAAATCAGCAGTTCCACGGATAACTGCCAGTGGCAAATGGGCGGCCTTTTCTCAGGTCATCCAAACACTAGAGAGACTGCTAGTACTTCTGGGCGCGACCCGACAGTTCATGTGGTGGTTTCCCAAAACTAGGGCCCGCATTGCGCATGGTTCCATCAAAAACCCCAACGATCGCCACGTTTCGAATCGTTCCCCCATTTGGGCTGGCACTAATTCCGTCAAACTCTGCAAGCCGCTTTCGAATCATTCTCAAGGAAAACAGTCAAGAGGAGTCCCTAGCTTTGAACACCTGGACATGTTCTCTCCAGTGGCCAACACAATTGAAGTGGGTCATTCATCTGTTCGCTTGACACTAAATTTCACGATACTGTGAGTATCAGTTTGCTAATCTCTGCGATTCGACCAAGATGCACTCTCGTACCAAATGGTTTCTTTGTCCATGGCACGGTCACATCTCCAGGTCAGAGCATGGTCTCATGGTGCAAACACCAGGAAATCCGCAAAACGACGAACCACATCTGCGTGAACAAGTAACGACCATCCGAAAATCAGGGCCAACAAATGGTTCATTTCCGTGTAGCTTCCACTTGGATACCTACCCAAAAGGGGTCCCCCGGCTGCCAATTGGTCACGGCAAACCTTGGGAAACACTCCATTTCCAAGTCTCAGGTCAGAATGAAGAATCCAGCCAGCCGCGTTTGGTGCTTACGAGTCTATAGGCGCAACGAGGGGACCTACAGAACATGCGGGAGCTCAGCGCTGCCGATTGCCACAGTGCCCTTGCCAGTGGCGAAGGGGCAAAGGCACCCATTTCTGCAACTGCTTGAACTTAAAGAACACCCCAATGATATCAAAGCGGAACAAACCTCGGATGGGACTGAACTGGGTACCAGAGCCACCAGCCAGCGGCCCCAGTCCTTCGAAAATAAGATGTGCTTTGGTAACGTCTCAGGCGCACAGCCACCTGACGAGCGCGATTTTTGGGACACAATGACTAGAAGTTGCAAGTCACTACAAGCTACAAGTGAAGGCTTGAACCGCAGCAAACATCTCTTGCCCACGCTGCGACATACCGCTCTGGTTGCAAGTGCAAAGTGAACAAGCTTCTCGGCTGTTTGCCGAACATCATTTCTGAGCTTCTGGTCGCTGCTGCACTTCACAAACCAGATGGAGAGTGGCACACGAGGTGAAAGATTGCCAACTTCCCAAGTCAAGACGGAAGCTTGCTTCCGCAGCACAAAGTGTCAGCCAGGTTTCAACATGAACACACGACACGCTAAGCAACAACTATGCCGGCTTGTTTCGACATGATCTGTCAACACAGTCTCAAAGCAAAACTGCTGGAATCCAGCTGTGCGGATCCCCTCCAACAACATAGCTATGGAAATTATGAGCCCTGTTTTGGATCCCTTTGAAACGCGGGCTTTGGGCAACAAGAATCAGCCCTCCGGCCAGCTGTCAAAATCACCCCCTCCCATTTTCCCACTGACCCTCATAGAAGGGAACCCTTTTGTAGCGTTAATCGCTGAAAAAGTGAAAAAGGGTGACACACACAACTGAGTCGTAGTTGTCAATTCTGGCCCAGGTGAATGGGGCAGTTACCTGGAGTCGAAAATGATCCTCCCAAAATGGGGTGACGCCGTGCTTCTGGCATTTTGAAAGGGTCATGGAGACGCCAGGTGCACATTTGGAGTCGCGAATTCAATATCTCTTCGAGGGTCTCAAAAGCCAGGCCCGCCAAGTTTGGTGCAGTCCAACACACCCAAGCCCTCAATGCATTCATGAATTGGGAAAGAAACGCATCCTAAAAGGTCGCTTTTGTTGCGTTGAAGCATACTCAGCGATCCTTACATTATACACCTGAACATTGCCTTGTACTGGTGGTTTTCCCTTTATTTTGGTGGACAAAAAACCATGTTTGAAATGGGCAAAATATATCTTTTAAAGAGCCCTGATACTGTTGCCACGTTTTCCTCTCTTCCAACTTCGGCGACGCAGCTCTTCCAGAACGCCAAATCAAAGAAACCTAAACCTGGAACCTATGAAGTTGTGCTCCATTGTATAAGCTACTTTGTGTAGCATCCCAGTTGCTGTTTTTTTTAAAGGGATGCCTCAAGGGGGGGAATCTAATTGAACAACAATCTCCTTAAGGGTTATTTTTGCTTGTTTAGAAAGGGGACGAGCATCGGAGCCATGCTGGATCAACTCTTCTTAGACACCCAAGCCCATGCATGAAAGTGACAAGGTAGCCTCCCCTCTTCCCAAATGCCTGGGCCGGTATGGCTTCCTCGTCCTCCACAGTTGTTGTGGAGACCTAGGGGGAGCAGCAGTCAAGTCAAGTGGGAAACCTGCAAGATGACGCCCCATTTGGCTTGCCTCAGACCTGGCTATAGGCTATGCATGGGAAATACCCTCAGAAACGGTCGGACATAAATATCCCATTCCATGCACATGGTGTCCACTAAAGGGTCCCATATCAAAATTCACGGTTCTGAACCTGGCGGGCCCTCTTTGGTTGAAGGGAAACCAACAAGGACACGACCCATTTTGGGGTCCCCTGTTACCCGAAAGCTGTCAACGCCGGGGGATCGGCAGCCCCAGCTTCTAAAAATAGCTGCACAGGCATATTTGCCTTTCCTGTAGGCTCATTGCCAACTCAGTGATCTTTGCGTCTTTGGCTGATTCTTTAAACAATGGGTTTGAACACGATGTCTGGGGAAGTGGAACAAAAAGCACGCCCCAACCGCCAACCGCTTTCCCCCTTTTTGGGGTTGGTTTAAAGGAAAAACCACGAGGAAAACCAAAAAATCGCTTTGGGTGTCCTCTTGCCAAGGCGCCCATGGGTGTTCCAAGACCTGGGCCGCAGAAAGGCGCAAAGAGGGGTCCACCACCAGCAGCTGGCGGATCAGGTCCTCACCGGAAACGGACTTTCAAAAAGGGCACCCGTTCGTTCAGTGGTGGGTTAAAGGGAAACAACCACATTTTCTGACTTTAACCCACAGAAACAAAATAATGACCCCAGCCCCAAACACGGAAGATTAGAATTCAGGCCCGACGACATGGATTTTGCAGAAAGTCCCTCTGAGGCTTCAGGTTTGTTGCGGAGCTACTTGGTTGCGACCTTTACCTGCAAGCCTCACTTGCCTTGGGTCAACAACACATGCTTGCACATTGCTGTTGTACAGGATGCTGGCGCAGTTGGTGTCAGGGTCTGCTTTATTATTGTGGCACATTGTGCGCAGACATGTTTACACCACCAAGGGCGTGATGCATGCGTCAATTGACCTACAGGTTCCGTATACATCCACATGCAAATCCTTCCATTGCCATCTGTACGCCAGTTGATCTTAGTTTGATCCTTAAGGCTTTCCGCTGCAAGAAAAGATCCTGCAACCGATTCCATGGTCTCAGCCCACGTCTAAACAATCATATGACACGACGTTCCCGAATCTGGACAAAGCACTGTCACCCGCGGAACAGGACAGAACGCACACCGCGAACTCAGCCCTTCGAACCGCCAAGTTCGAAGCTACCGTCCTTCGCCTCAGGCGAAATATCCCGCCACCTCGAGCCCTCCGTAGAGAAAATTCCCTTCCTGGCCGAAGGCGACGAAATGCAAAAGCCATGTAACTCCAAAAGCAACATCTGAAAGAACAAGACCCTAGGCCACACCGAAAACTGCTATCAGCACCGTCAAAGAGCCATGAGTTGCGAAAAGAAGGTTTGCGAAAAGAGGGTCTCGGCAAGTCAAGTCAGTGACTGGAGGTCCAATTTCCCTCCCTTCAGGCTGTGGTCGAAGTGGTTGACTTTGGATGCATCATGGTCGGACAGGGTCATGGCTTTTTGTGTCATCCGAGGCTGGAAGTTGGACAACTTGGCTCCTGGATTCCAGGGTTCCCAGCGTGGATGCTAACAGGCAACACCTCCGAGCCAAGCCACAAAGCAACCAAGGGACCATTTTCTCTGGGGTGAGCAAAAAGCACATGGCAAAGATACCTCCCGTATCGGGTTCTGTTCCGCCCACCTGTCATCCGCTCGAAAGGCCCTACATATTTCCCTTGTTGGGAGAAATCGCACCTCACCGTGCTGGCCCATCTCAGGTGAGCTTCCCTAGGTAGCGGTCTTGTTTTAAGGGAACCTATGATAACTATGTGTGAAATTCGCCGGACCCGGCGAAAAAACAACTTGCTGGTGCTCAAAACATGAGCGAATGAACTCAAAAACCTTCAAACCCCCTTAGGCGAAACCACCAGTTGCATGGTTTTTCCTTGGGGTCAGACTCCAGGTCTCATTCCCTGGCGATTTCGCAGCCAGCCAAGGAACCAGCGACCGACCGAGCCGTTTTTCGCTTGCGCCGCCTCGCCGCCTCTGCGGAGCTGAAGGGTAAAGAGCTGCTGAGCATGGCGTAGAGCAACACGCCCAGAGACCAAAGGTCCTAGCCACTGCCACGAGTGTGTCTTGTGTTTATGGACCCCCCCAAACAACAATAATAATAATCATAATAGTATTAATGATAATAACAAATAATAATACTAGTAATGGTAATCATAAAACAATAACAATAATAATAAGAAGAAAACTGATAATATATGGTGTTCCGTTTGGTTTCCCTTTTTGCAAACCACCCAAAAGAGACGTATCCTGATAAAATAAAAAAGGGCAGACCCATAGTTCGCCCTGAAAGCATCGCAATGGGAAACTCACCGGGGCCCAAGGTGAGAGGTCCTTAGAGCCTTGTCCCAGCTCCAAGGCGTTTGACCTCAGACCTGAAATGTGTTCGGTCATTTTTGCTTTTTGGGCCTTGGCTTTACCCAAGAAATTCACCCACAAGAACGGTGGCCCCATTCCTTTCGCCAACATGCAAGTGTCCAGGTCCTGGATGAGATCTTTTACCAGGGGCCCCAAGAGGGCCAAGAGGACCCTACATATGAGATGTTGACCTAGTTGCAACCAGTGATCCGAAAGGTACACAAACGGCACAACTTCTTGTTGGCGTTAACCATGTTCAAAGAATCCACCACACAAACAAAGAAAAGGCCGGCGCTGGGTTTAAAATGTGAGTGCTAGTCCGATGCATGGTCATGAATTTAAACTCGGAGCATTGGATACATTCTACGCTGGGATTTATCTTAGACCAAAACTTAGCCTCTATCTCTGTGGAGGTTAAAACCGGCCAATAGTCATGTAAAAAACCACGTCACTCTTCATGTAAGTATTCATGTAAACAAAAACAGGCCTTAAAGAAACACGTAAAAGATCATGTAAACAATGTGTGCCTCAATGTTGGAAGCTGGAAGCTGCATCATTTGCCATGTAACAGGCCTGAACAGACAGAAAAGGCGCACAATCAGACAAGCCAATGGCAAAACATTGGCAAAAAGAAGGTAAGGCTCCAACGCGCCCCTCCCATCTCCATAACAAGCGCCCAAGGTGTTGATTGAATGATCTTTGTTAAATCCTTAGCAGCTACCGTGCGAATGTTAGGAGGCCAAACATCTTAGGTCTTAAACACGTGGTTGGTAAGCCTAAGCATGCGTGAGCAGAAGCAGGGGCAATTCCTGAGCATGCTCCAATGTCTCCGAACGGTTCAGAACAGTTCAGAGTATGATGTTGCAATCCCTCCTGAACGGTTCAGCACGGTTCAGGGCATGCTGCTTGCAATTCTTCCTGAACGGTTCAGAACGGTTCATAGTATGATGCTGCAATCCCTCCTGAACGGTTCAGAACGGTTCCTGGGAAGCTTGAGTGACGAACGGTTCAGAACGGTTCAGAACGGTTCAGAACGGTTCTGAACTATACGCCTGCTCTGTGCGCTGCTTGCTAGATGGGCTCCAGAACGGTTCAGAACGGTTCAGGGGCATGGGTTCCAATGCCTCCGGAACGGTTCAGAACGGTTCAGGGGCACGCGTTCCACTGCTTTCGGAACGGTTCAGAACGGTTCAGGGGCATGCAGTTTGGTTGCCACCGTTCCTCGGAACGGTTCGCGAGCACGCGGCTGGCGGTTCCTAGTCCTAGGTAAAAGGTCAGGCCGGCATCGGAACATCGAAAGCGATCCGAAATCTCAAAGCACAAAAAGGCAAAGACTTGTCTGAAATTTACGCGAAAATTTACGCAACCATTTACGCAGAAAAAGGCTGGCTGAACCGTTCTGAACCGTTCAGGGGACACATTTTGAGCATGGAGGTCCGTCCGCAGAACTTGCGTGCACATGTGACAGCATCGATCGCTCCTCTTTTCCGGCCTTTGCTCAACTGGGTTTCTGGAATCGGTTCTTGGATTCCCTGGGTCTTGCGGACAAACGAGGCGAAGCCGCGGCAAAGAGAAAACAACAAAAAACAACGCGCGACAGTACCACAACGCGGCAAGCAAAGCTGCAAGAAGGCAAGGCTTAAAATCGTCCTTTGCAACTCCTGACTGGTTTGGATCAGCGGCCACGCGGAGACAACCTCGTAGAGTCGTGTGTGCATGTGTGTTTGTGTGTGTGTGGGTGGTGTCTGTGTGTCTGTGCGCCAGGTGCATGTTAGGAATATAGACGTTAATCTTGATGTTCTTCAAGATTGGCCCTCGCAAGGTCGCCCAACAAAAAGCTGACTAAGTCTTGATTGTTGGAAAGAGCCCTCAAAATATTCTTAATGTTGTTCACGCAGCTGACATAACCAATGACCGGACATACCGGACGTTCTTTGACAAGACGCAGTGTTCCTAGTCCTCGGTTCCTACAACATCTCCTTTCTCATGAGCACTGAACACAAATTGACATGTATCTTGGTGGGGGTTCTGGCTGCCTATTAGCATGGCAACGCAACCCAAGCGCAAGCATGGGCACACACGTTTTTGCGTCCGGCGAGCAAAAACTGTGGCTCGCAGCTACCAGTACGCATGAACATTCATGTCAAAGTTGTCGCGGCTCTTCCAATGGTTCATGACTCATGACGCTTTGCCTTCCTTCAGTGATATGAGCAGGTTAAATTCGCGAAGGGGAAGATTCTTGCCAATACACATCCCTGTCCATGAGGGACACTAAGTCCAGCTCACGCAGGGTCACTCAAGATCGGGCAAGCGAAAATGAATTACAACTAATTTACCTCACTATTTACCATATTATTTACGGACTCTTCCTGTTAAGGGCCAGGCCAACCAGAAAGCTTGATTTATTTACGTGATTGTTTACGCTTTTATTTTCGGGTACGGCGAAAACGACAGACCCCCCTATTTATAGAGGCTAAGTTTTGGTTTAAGATTTATCTCCTACAATTTTGGAGGTCACCCCCGGCTCTCTGAGGATGTTCTATTCAGGGACACCGGTTTTTGGGGTAGGAGTTCTGTTGAGACAGACCCACATCGCTTCGCCATGCTTTGCCATGCTTCGCCATGCTTCGCCATGCTTCGCCACACACAAGCCACCCCAACACAGGTTAACCCTTTGAGACTAAACATGAACGACTCGCACACATGAGCCCAAACTAGCTTGTCTCTTTAAGACTCAACATCAATCCTGGCCGTCCATGTTGTTGATCTTGTCCTTGTCCACACCCGCTTCTAGCAAAACTTATTCGACTTGTACGTGCATAGCAGCAACATGTTCAAGGGACTAGTTCCATGTTCATTGCCCTCTTGTCAGCAGCAGCTTTCACTAAGCAGCGCGCGACTTGAACCGCTTTAGAGACCCCATTTCAACAGGTGGCTGCCCCTGTCACAGATCCCAGCGAGTCGCACATTTCTCGGAGTAAGAGCTCTCGTCGTTCTTCACTTCCGGCGCCTCGTAGGCCTGCGTTCCCCGATTGGCGGAATACCCTACACTGTTGGTTGGGGTTGGGTGGGGTGGGGTGAGGTGGGGCTGGGTTGGGTTGGGTTGGGTTGGTTGGCGTTTGGTTGATTCACACGCCCAGGTTGATGATTCCGGGGGTGTCCAAGTCAAGGTTAGATCCTTCACTTCCTTAGGAGACTGGCTGAACATTTGTTCGAGGGGCGGATTCAAGATGAGAAGCTTCACTGTTGTTTGGAACACCGACCCCGAATTCGCGAGCCCAGATTCCGTCGAGATAGGCCAAATGTGTTTGTGTGTGTGTGTGTGCGTGTTTTTAAGGGCACCCCTCAAAATGGCGGGTTTCTTTTGGTTTCCCCTCAAAACCCCAAACAAATGGGTACTCTCAAAAAAGACGCACCAAAATGCATAGGCAAGCACATCCTTCTTGAATACGTGTTATTTTCTGATACCGATGGATCTTCAGCCTGGGCTCCTTTTGTTCACCAGCATGAAATGTGTGTTGCTTTCAATATTTCCAAGCTAGCAACTAAATGGAGGAGAAAATTAGGGTCCCACAAAGAAATCACCGGCTTGGGAAAAACTCTATTGGGTCTGCGTGTTTGACAGTATTTAAACCACAAAGCTTTTTTTGTCGGGCACCAACATAACTTCTGCACATATGTGTATATATATATATATATATATTTAAACACGTTTATGTACATTTACATATATATATATATATATATTATATTTGTTACATTCGTACACCTCAATTATAGCTTTGTGATTGAACGGTATGGTGTCAGTCGCTTCGTCCACCTCAATCTCGCCATGCTATTGTGCAACTGGCTGACTCGCTGGCTTCACTTGGTCAAACAGGTGCAACGTCTGCCCAAAGGAAACAAATACGGCGATCCTCCCAATCTACTCAATCTCTGTTCTTTTTGTCAGCTTCCACCCAGCCTCAGTGCCCTTCTCACCCTTTCTGTGCTCTGTCTGCTTGAAATGACAAGCGATGCCTCGGCTCTGCTCAATAGTCGCATCTCTGAAATGTGGCCTCTCCTTCTGCTATGAACTTGTTGCTGGGACCCTTAACCACACCACCCCCGGCACAGCACACCGCATCCGCATCCCCCTTTGTTCCCTGTGCTCGGCACAAAGCGCCCTGATGGGAGCAAAAACCATTCCTTAAATTGGTCTACTGTTTTTCGGGAAGCCCATTTCCTTCAGGAGCTTTGCAGAAACCCGAATCTGTTGGAAGAGTGCCCCAATGCGAGACATACCCCGAGCAGCCTTCCTCTCAAAAGCAACCAGAAGATGGGGGATTCATTTGAGGCATCGGCTTCCTTTGGAAGGGACACTTGTCTGTTGGCTGATTTGCTTGAAAGGTACACATACCCAACCAACTCAAACAAGTAAAAAACACATCAAACTTGCCGAACTCTGAGCTCTGTCCGAACCGAATTCTGAGCTCCGCGCCGAAGTCGATCAGCTTGGCCGGGGCTTCCGCATCGCTGGACACGAAGAGGATGTTCTCTGGCTTAATGTCGCGGTGGATGATGCCACGGTCGTGGCAGTACCTCACCGAAGTCCACGAACTTCCCGCGGTAAAATGAATGCTGGCGCCACAACCAACCAGGGGCAAAATGTGACCCCCGAGTGCGAGTAAAAAACGAAAACAAGCCGGTCGCCACAACGGGGCTTCAACACGATGGCCGGCGCCCCGACCTTGGCTGTTGAAGGAGAGACCAACATTTTTCAGTTGAGCAGCGCGATGAACAAGTTTGCAGAGCGCGCAGCAGTGGTGGTATTGCATTTGGTTTGCAAAGTACTGTAGAGGGGACAAACTCAAAACGCGTCAAGAAACAAGAGTACCAGGGTGGCCTGTCCATGTTGTCCAATTTCAATGGCCTGCAAGGCTCCAGCGGAATAAGTTGAAGAGTCCTGACTGAAGCAGATTACAAGGTTTGCAGCGACTGTGCCAGTTGCTTTTTGTTCAATAGAGTGATGCGGCCTGACAAAAATTGGGGGAGGGGGGACAAACTATCTCCACACACACACACAGGACATGGAGCGGTTTGCAGCGCCAATCTGAACCAGTTCCACTATGGGCTGGAACACCTTGCCACAATCTGGCTTAAGCTGAAGTGGGCTTGTTGCTTAATTGCCCGCCAATTTGCAAATCATGTCCTGAATGAAAGGTTTGCCTCCTCTCTTTTCATTGTTTGGCCCATTTCGCCCAAGCCTGGAAACATAGGCACTTTTCTAAGCTCACCAACCAACAGTGTTGGCCATGCTTTACGCCCAACTCTGCACCACACTCCTGTGCTGCATGACCAGTCATATCTGCTCTTCCAGACGAAGCCGCCATTAGACCAAATACCAACCTCAGCTCTAAGCGATGAATTGGGCAGCTGTGACAACATTCGGCCAAGTTGCCGCAAGGCATGCGCCAGTTGTCGGATCAGCTTTGAAACCTGTCGGGCAGGCAGTGGCCCCAACACGTCGGTGACCCAAACAATTTAAAAGGGAAGGCCTCACAATATAAAGAACCAGGGCATCCAGAACCAGGGCATTAGATATGTGGTGTATATGCGTTGTTTGCAATCCGAAATGGCAACGCCTGGGACCAAGATTGGAACTAGCATTGGCAAAGATACTTGCAACAGAGCTTTGCACAATCAAAATCTGGTTTTTCTAAATTGGTGTCTTGTTGAGGGCAGCCATTTGCGACTTTAAAAGGGACACCAGCACACAAAGCACCATGTTGGGGGCCCCCTGAAAGAAGACACATGGCGTCCTGTGTCTGGGGTGGGTGGGTGGGTGGTGCTACCTCTCAAGGGTCTTTGGGCCAAAGCTTCTGGGTGCCCGGCGGGACTCAACGAGTGCTCAATGGAGATTCCTCCTATGACTTGTCGAGTTCCATGTTTTTTGTGGAGTATAACCACCTGGGGCAGACATAGGGTGCCAACAGTGATGGTAATGGAGAGCTCGATTCTTCTAAGTTCATTGTCAAAGTACAAGCCACGTGGAAATGGTGATGTAATCGCAGCAAAGGAAACCAAGGTCAGGTAGGCCAACGTGAGGTCACTAGCACATGTCATCACATATCAAAGGTCCAGAGCGCACACTAACATTGCTGGACAGTGTGTTCTCCATTCTTGCCAAAAAACTCTGCACTGGTTTGTGCGTGTCTGACAGGGAACCTGACAGTTTCATCCAGGTGAGTCGGCGCTGTAGCAAGTCTCGGGACCCCTCGGTCGATCCCTTTCGGCCCTATAGGTTGAAACACGTGTGGCCAAGAACAAATCTCCACTGCAAGGGGGCCCTTTTCAAGTCCCGATCAGATTTTCCGTGTCATTTCTTACGCGACCGCAGGATCTGCGACTTGTTGCAGAAAGCGCAGTGCAACCAAACAACTGCTCCATGCCATTTCTTGTGAGTTTTGCTCGAATCCCAAACTTGCCAACATCTGCCTGTTCGGCACCTCCCGGTGGGTGATCAGTTCCACGTCCGCCATAGTGAAACATACTTGTTTCCTTTGAAAGAGGGGAAAGTTGGTGAGTCCCCAGGTCTTTGTCGGACACTTTGGTCAGTTTCCCCTGTTCCTCTCAAGTGGACCTCGCCAGGTCCCGATTCCGCGATCCAGCCCGCGCCTCTGCCTCCCCTAGCGCCCCCTCTGTGATGCGGTCGAACAGCTCACCGCCTCTACACAAATCCTTGGCTCACCGAAACATAAGAAAAACTGACAACAGCTCGAGTCAGGGCTTGGAACTGGAGGGGTAACAAAGAATCGAACATGGGTGTTGCTGCACCTATTGGCTGCGACTCTAAACTTCATCTGAGGTGTCCATTGAATTGCCAGCTCCTGTAAGACCGGTCCATGACAAAATATTCACTAGGGCAAGACTATTTTGTACAGCGGGACAAGTCCTCTCACTCCCGCAACCTTGCGCAACTGCGCCGGTGGCTTCCCGTACCCAGCCAGAAGTGGACGGCGCTGCTGGTTGGAAACGCACAAAAGTCAACTTGCTATTCTGCTCTTTGTGTTTCCCTATGAAAATGCCAAACAAATAAAAACGTGCGAGCCCAGCTCCTATTCCAGCTTCCTGACTGGCATCTACAACCTGTTGGCGGTGCGCATGGCACGAAACGTCAAGGACACCACCTGCAGCAAGGGCACCATAACCAAGTAAATGTTGTCTGCATCCTCAAAGACTTCCTGGGCAGGGGTCGGGTCTGCAGATGCACTGGCAATGGCTGAAATGGATTGATTCACAGTGTCAAGACGGAACCACCAGTCCCTTCGTAGCTATCAAATGGCATCCACCAGCACATCCAAGCAAGCACACCATGCTGCAAGATACGTACATGTCCTTTCTGCCATCCACGCATGTTCATTTCCAGGTCTTCATTTGCATGTGTGTGTTGTACGGCGGCATCTTATTTCTGGGAACCAGCTGTCTTCAGACACAGTCGGGCCTCCGCTTGGCAAGTCCGGACAACCGCCTGATGGGGTTGGTCGGCTTCATCGTGGATTTCTTTCCAAGGCTAGCAAACTTATGAATCTTAATGAATATGTAAATACGGAGAAACGCAAGATAAAAGACAATCAGTCAACGCATCCAAGCAATCAATCAAGGGAAGAAGCAAGGAAGAACGGACGGAAGGAAGGAGGGAAGGAAGGAAGGAAGGAAGGAAGGAAGGAAGGAAGGAAGGAAGGAAGGAATGAAGGACGCAAGGAAGGAAGGACGGAAGGAAGAAAGGAAGAAAGAAAGCAAGGAAAGCAAGGAAAGAGAAAAGGAAGGAAGCAAGGGGGGAAGGGACAGACAGACAGACGGACCGACCGACCGATAGAAAGACAGACAGACAGACAGACAGACACACAGAAAGAAAGAAAGAAAGAAAGAAAGAAAGAAAGAAAGAAAGAAAGAAAGAAAGAAAGAAAGAAAGAAAGAAAGCAAGGAAGAAAGAAAGCAAGAAAGCAAGCAAACAAGAAAGAAAGAAAGAAGGAAGGAAGGAAGGAAGGAAAGAAAGACAGAAAGACAGAAAGACAGAAAGACAGAAAGACAGAAAGACAGAAAGACAGAAAGACAGAAAGACAGAAAGACAGAAAGACAGAAAGAAAGAAGGAAAGAAAGAAAGAAAGAAAGAAAGAAAGCAAGAAAGCAAGCAAGCAAGAAAGAAAGAAAGAACGAAAGAGAGAGAGAAAACAAGACGGGTGCGCCGAAATAATTATACACAAAAAGGAAGAACCACAGACTGTAAAATCTGTAAAGCATCACATTTCAACACGTCACATTTTGCAACATCACATCACGCTACATCACATCGCGTTTCGCGCACAGATTGTACACACACGTGGGAGTGTGCCTGCGAACCTGCGCTTCACCGATCCGCTGCTTCCGCCGCTGGCTGAGTCACCTTGCGCGTTCCTGAACAAAGGTTCGTGGTAAGTGCCGGCGGCTGTGGCGCGACCGGCCATTGCCTGGAGCGGCATTGTCGCCGCTTTCCTTGTAAATGAGAAGGTGCGCAGCCAGGCCAATGTGATCACCAGTTACAGGCACAGGGCACAGCTATCCTGACCTGCTTGCAAGTCGCCAGAGAGCAAGCGAGTGCAGCCACCGTGAGTCTTGCTCTGATTGCTTGCGCGGACGGCAGGCCCTGAGAAGCGTCGTAGAAGCAGTCAGTCTTTGATTGAAGTCACAGTCACCAACCCCCCCTGCGCTCGTTGGTGAATGATGAGGTGTAGCGCCGGAAGCACGTGAACAAGCAGCTGGCGCGTGCGGAACATACGGGCCATGGAGCCATGCCGTCGCCGGCAGCGGCTCCACGCGCTGGCCCTGCAGCGCCTGGCTGGGCCGCCGCGAGAGTCTCAAGAACCAAGGCCCAAACTTCTGCAGACTCATCCATGGCCTTGTCGCGCGGGCAACTTTAATTGTCTCCCGTCGGGCTTTTCCCGCCAGCAAGCCAAAATCGAGCTCCTTCGTCAAAAGTCTCCCTCGCACGAGCTCGCGCTTGTGTCCCCCACAATGTCTTGTTAGAGTGAAACGTGCCGCTCACTCCTGGACTCAACTCCGAGGCTTTGCCGGAGGAGGCCCGCGCTGCCCCCCGTCACTTTGTACGCGGTTTTGGTCTGGTCCTGTCCGGATCGTTTGAATTTAGTCTGAACTTAGCAGCCGTCCTCGGACCGTTTCTGCAGCCAGCCGCGCCCCTCCAGCTGCTCCGCGTGTCCTGGCAGGGCTGACGCGCGTTTGACGCGCGCGTTGCCTGACGCTCGCTCCTCAACCAAGGACGAGAATGGCCCAAGGTTATGTGGGGCTTGCCTTCCCACACAGTGCCTTGCAGCCACCCCGCTGGGGTCATCTCGCATCGAAGTCCAGGCGGCGCAAAAGTGTTCCGTCCTTGGCGGCGGTGGCTTTTCCTCTCTCCCCCGCTTCCCTCCTCTTGGCCTCGATGACCTTGCGCAGTTCCTAAATCTACACGACGACCACGTCCTGGCGCCGACCCTTGCGAAAGGAACACTATGGAAGCACAAGTGGACTGCGCCGCGCCTCGTCTTTGGGCACGTGTAGGAAAAGAGTAAGAATTCATGACTGGTGCGCCGATGCGCAAACCAAGGAGGTCGGCGAACCTTATCTAAGTACGAAAACGCAGCTATCGGGCATGGATGCAACATGCCTTTTCCAGCCGTCGCGGCCAAACACCTTGCGCAATGTTGCTCTCGCGTTGAACCCAGCAGCCTTATCCCAAAAGCGCATGCTGCCTCGGGCGACACTGCGTTCTTGCGAGGAGCACGGGCCTACGGATCGCGCAAGAAAGCCGAGACGTTGGGCGCAGGCGCTCGCTCAAGAAAGTTTGTGCGCAGCCCCGCTCAGGCCAGCGGAGTGCGGCGCGGACCAAAGAACAAGTTGAGGCGGCCAGGAGGCGCAGGCCTGGTTTTGGCTCTTGGCGGGAAAGTGAGTCGCGCTTGGAGCCCTTATAGGCTTCGCGCAGAGAATGAAGAACTGCGGCAATGTTTCGCGATATGAGCATTTTGCGGAAAGAGTCCCTTCACAAGAAGGGAGGCC